AAACTGATAAGTCAATGAAGGATGATCAATAATTACATTCTCTCAAGGGCCTGAGAAACAAAGGTAAACATTCAAATCACACTCATCTTGCTATTATTGAATTCACAGGAGTGGGGATGGTTTAATTAGGCTTGTTAAGGGTTCTTGAGAGAAAACAGGTGCTCTGAGGGGACTAATGAAAACAGTCTGGGGCTCAGCTCAGGCAGCCTCGGTTTAAAGACATTCTGTGAAAGAAAAAACTGCTTCTTCATTTTAAATTTGGGAAAAAAGGACCGAAATACACAATTCTTATATGATCTGGCACGCTGAGAGTGGAGGACCCTGATCACCGTGGAAAACTGCTGAATCCATCCCTCTGTATTTCTCAGTGGACAGTGGGGTGTTAATACCAGAGATGATGCAGATAGCAAGAAATAAACAAGGAGAAGAGATATGAGCTTGTCTTTTCATTTCTCATTGACTGGGCCATTGTGTCAAATGCCATGTCACTGCAAGTCAGACTGAGTGGTTCTGTGGGACTGTATCTGTGAGTGTGAGTCTGAGTGTATTTCTCTATGATTGTATTTGTGTATTTGAGATTATGAGAGAGTGTAAAGGTGTATTTCAGTGAGAGTGTGACTGCATCGAAGCGTGTTTGTGATTGTATCTATGAAGAGTGTTTCAGTGTGTTTGTAGCTGTGAAGAGTATATCTAAGTGAGTTTGTGCGAATGTGTCTAGACTTGGCATGTAGAACAGTATATGTTCATGGAACAAGAGTAGTGGAAGGCACAAACACAAAGCTGTGTGTCTGCAGACTGGAACTGAACACAAGAGATGCCCAAGAAATAAGAGTATTTTTGAGGGGAGGGGCTGTCATTAGTGAGTCCCCAGCCTGGTGTTGTTAAATGCCCCATAACCAGAGGGCATACTGGTCCTATAACACCCCCCCACCCCAGCAGGGCCTCTGATCACAGCCAGCCACAGCCTTAATGACTCCATCTGCTGCCCGCATGTGTGGAAACTCCCTGACACTGCAGTCCTGGTGGGAAAAAAGCCTCTGTAAAAACAGTGGGCAGGGGGCTCGTTGTGGGCTTGCTTGTGCCACGTTGCCCGTGGTCACAGGGGGGTGCCCTCAGTCCTCTTGCTTTACTGAACAGAACTGAGCCAGCCCAGATCCCATACCTCTGTGTGCTCCGTTACTATTAAACCACCCCAGAGCCTGCCTGGCCTTTCACATGCAGTTTTACAGACGGAAGGGTGAACAGGCATGGGGAGCTGAGCCTTCTTCGAAAGCCCTTCGGCTTCTGACCCACTTTATAGTTGGTAACCAAGTGATCCCAGGATCTCAGCCAGCCATTTCCTGAAAGCACAGACCCAGAAAACAGGCCCAGGGCAGGAGCAATCCATCTGAAGTCGCGGCTGAGATTAGAGAATGCCTCTCCAAACAGAGGGGGCTGGCTGAGGGAGCTGTAATGAGGACCTGTTCTCAGGACCACCTAGAGCCCAAATCTTCTGAATCTTCAGATTCCCACTCCACACCAACTAGTGATCCCACCACACACCGCTGATCACATCACACCAAAACCCACAGAAACCAAACCAGTCTCAGTCCTCCAGTGTGGAAAACATTTATTTTAAATTCCAAAAAAAACTAAAGCAAAATTCAAACAAGACGAGCACTAGAGAGCCTCACACAAGAGGAGGAGGTGTCTCTACATCTTCAGACACAGCCCCCACCTCGGGATTGCCAGCCTGCAGGACCAACTGGCACCAGGAGGGGGCGTATCAGTGCGAGGTGCCACAGGGTGTGTGTGTGTGTGTCTTCCTATATTTGTGTTCCAAGGTGTTAATGTGTGCTGTATTTTGTATTAGGCATTAGATCAAACCATTTATGGCTTACAGAATCAGAAATCAGACATCAGCCAGAGAAGGGCTTACCAAAGTGCATGTGGTGTGCCTCAGTTAAACAAGACAGCGTCCAGGGTAACGCAATTCTTTTTATCAAAGACACCGAGGCTCAACTTCGCAGCCTCACTGTTTCTTGTTCAGCTGAGCCATGTGACTGGAACCCCTTCACAGGGCAGCGCTGCCCCTGCTCAAGGAAGGAGAGCGACCCCCCAGTCCTTCCTCAGAAGAACAGCCCCCTCATGCGGCGCCCGATGCCCTGCCGGTCGTACAGGATGTTGAACTTGTTGACGAACTGGTTCATGCTGTTGCAGGTCTTGGTGATGGTTCCCAGGTACGCCATCAAGCCCACATCATTGCATTGCTGAGCGAGAGAGAGAGAGAGGAAATGACTGACTCCTCTGTGTCCACTTGGCAAGTATTAGTGTAGGTGTTATGATGCGTGAAAGTGTTACATTATCAGTATGAAAGTGTATTGGTGGGACAGTGTTACTATATCAGTTGGGCAGTGTCAGTGCAAGCAGTGTGTCAGTACGGTGGCGTCAGTGCAACAGTATGTTTAGTTTGACAGTGCAACAGTACTGGCTTGCTGGTGTTACTGGTGTGCACTCACATCGTAGAAGTCAGTCTTGAACTTGAGGGTGCTGAGAACAGGCAGCCGATGGCACAGAGCATTGGCCTCACGCAGGATCTCGTGGTTAAAAGGCACCTCTCCTGACAGAGGGAAAGAGGACCGCAGGGCGGCAGCTTTAGACACAAATGGGCCACATGCTGGACATCACAGAAAGGTGGAGCCAGGGGCGGTCAAACACTCTCCTTCCTTTCATCTGAATCTCTGTCTTTCTGTCCCTTTGCTCTTTGCATTCCTGTTCGCTACCCATTTACGTCATCTCCCTCTCTCTTTATTAAAAAAACTTTAGAATTGCCCGTGACTTCTGTTTCCCCCACTTGATCTGAAATCCCCCACTGTGTGTTTTTTGTTCGGCTCACTGCCAAGAACCCTGCCAGCGCACACAGGAGAATGTGAACCAATCATTTGGTTCTTCTAATAATCTTTTAACATGAAACTGCAGCGAAGCTGTTACTGGAGGAGAGGCACACCCTTCACCAAAAGTAATCCTGACCCTATAGTGTGCCACCACTTGGGGAAACCCCAGTTACAGTTGGCTAGCGACACCACCCAGACTGGAAAATGCACTCAGGAGAGTGCCCATGCTGATTGAGATTCACCAAGTAAACCTATGCGTCCTATATAACCCTCTCACAAACCTCTCCCCTCACCGTTACCCCAGCTCTCTGCCCCCCCATCTCGCCCCACAATGCCTCACCAGCCTCCACGGCCTTGACGTACTCCAGGATGACCTTCACCCGGCTGTGCAGCATCTTGATGGCACTGTGCTGGGCAATGAGGTGCTCGGCCACTGAAAGAGATGGAGACAATAAGGCGAGATGGCAAACAAGGGAGGCAGAGGAACAGAGAGAGCAACAGGGATGAAAATAGAGAGCAAAAACAAAAAAAGAACCAGGGGAACCGGGTCGCACCTGTGGAGTTCTCTCCAGTCCCAGTAGCAGTCATGCGGGCCACATGGTCCACTCCAATCCTCTCCGCCTCCTCTGTGGCCAGTGTGTAGGTCAGTTCTGCAAACAGCATGGTTGCCTAGGTAGAGAGGAGGAGTATAGGGAGGACAGAGGACAGCAGGATGGAGATAGAGATCAGTGGTGGACATTCTTGAATAGTGGTCAAGGTGCTACCTTTCACTGAGAGACCTGCGCAGATGACTTAGGCAGGACGTGTGTCACTGATCACAGATGCACAATGCCTCATGCCCATGACCTCTAGTCAGCTTCCAGGACTGGTGTATTGTGGGTAGGTTGAGGGATACCACGACAAGCCAAGGCGTAACCATTATCTCACAGCTTCAGTCAACACTTTGAGAGAATTGTCCTGTATCTCCCATTTCAATGTCTCAGGAAACGGTGGACTTCTAAAGGTGAGAATCTGGATCAGATTGCCTACTGCAAGTTGATAATGAGCTATTGAACACTGCACAATTTAAGTGAGCTTTGAACTGACCAGTGAATACACTGTCACTCCTGTCTGTACAGCAGATACTGCTAGATGCACACTATCACACCTGACTGGACTACAAACACTGCTAGAGCCACTGCTGTCTCTCTCCTCTCACACTCACCCTGAATACACCTGTGACGGCAATTACACAGTGGTACAAATGTTTAGTTCACAAAAGGCGTTACCTCTCCGTTGATGATGTCGATCACAGACTCATACACGCTGACCGGGAGCTGGAGGGAGAATAAGAGAGAGTATTGAAAGGAATGGAAAAGAGAGAAGCCTCACACAGGGAGATAAGAAGGAGGAGATAAAGGCAAAAGAACAAAAAGACAAAATAAAGTATTTTTCTGAAACAGCTGAAACTGCTTTATGAACTGGATTTTAAAAATGTTACATTTCCTATGAATAGGGAGCTTTAAGAACTATCAGGATATAACCATGCTTGGAAGCAGTACAAGTTTAGTGACCCAATGCTGGTTCTCTTGAGCACTGTGGGTACAGGAATGAAAATGTAAAAGCTATGCATTAAATATGTGGTGCTCCCAAGTGGAAGACAGTGGGAAGTGCAGCTCTGTTGATAGTCATGAGTTTTGATGAGTTACTTGCCTTAAACCGATTCAGCTGGTTTAATCATTCATTAGCAGCTTGAGAGAGATCTCATCTCGCATAGAAACACCACTCTAGTATTACACAAACCATTCACAAAACCGGCTATGATTTTAGTTTCTAATCTTCACTTCTCAGCACCAGCACACACTGATGCTGGGGAGATGTATGCCTGCACTTCATCAAGATCGGCAGGGAAACAAAATGCTCAGGGTGAAAGGGCACAGGCACAAAGACACAGAGCGAAGACCAGGAAACTGGGGTGGTGATCTTGGCTGTGACTGGTTATTATTAATTATTATTATTACATAGTGATGTCTCACAGCTGGAGGTGTCGAAGCTGCTCCAGAGAGTGAGTTGTGAAAGGTGAGGGGAGGCACTAATATTACAGCCCAGAGTGGATCCTGTATTGTCTGGACTGTAGAGCACCACACTCCAAACTCCGAACCTGGAACACTGGAGCACCAGCTCTGCAGACTTCAGTATGATATGTTATTGGCAATGTAACACCAGTCACGCCGGCATACTCCGAGAATTAACACCAACAACCCTGACCCCCCACAATCCCAGGCAGTCAAAACTCACATCAGTGTGTTTGGTCATGGGGTTCAGTTTGAGGAACAGGGGGCTCTCGATGATCTCACAAACCTGCCCGGGGGGAGAGAGAGGCAGAGATAGACAGTGTTAAGACACTCTGAACCCACTAGGCATGCTGCAGCAAAGCTGGTTCCCCTGTACTGTACCCGTGTCCCAGCCTGCATAAGCTTGGACTCATTACAGAAGAGCTGCAGGCATAGAACCGGCTCACATGAAACGTGTGCAGATCAGGAGACCAGCCCTAGGAGGAGCCACTAGTCGGTCTGAGCAGCTACAAGATGACCCTGACTTCTAAGTGAAGAGAACATCCAGCACATAATCAGATGTACACAGCAGGGCGGACACTGCTAGAACCAATAAAGACAATGAAGAGCACCGAGAGAAACAGCAGGTGAGCAAATTATTGATGGTGTGATGGTGACGGCTTCGTAACTGAATGATCGGAGACTTGACAATGCAGGATGAGCTGCAGCTGCAATGTCCTGATGTGATCATTCTCCAGTGACCACTGGACTGCCGCCTGAGCACCCACCCACCTGCTTGTGAATGTGGATATCTGATTGGTCAGGAGGCCCGCCTGTTGTGTACCAGCCCAAGAACTCCATGTCCTTGAACACCTGCTTAACTGAGAGATGGAGCCGGAGAGAGAGAGGAATAAGAGGGAACATCAGGAGGAGAGAGGGAAGAAAATTGAAGATTATTTGTTTCAAAGCAATGCAACAGATTCAAAATTAAAAACATGCCCATCAGGCCCACTGTCCGACACCCACGCTCTCCCACTGACCCACGCCCCACTCACACTGCTCCTCCTTGGTGTAGTAGTATTCCTTGTCAATGACGGCTCGGTCATCCACTGTGTGGAAAAGCAGCTCAAACGAGTTCATCACCTCGATGTTCCGGCCTTCCTGCTTCCCAATCAGGGCTCCGATCACTGTGTGGGAACAACGCACCGAATCAGCACACACATTGTGAGCACACACTGACACAGACTCCACACACAGTCAGCAGGCACTGACAGTGTCCACACACACTGACACAGACTCCACACTGACAGTGTCCACACACACAGTCAGCACACACTGACACAGACTCCACAGACACTGATACAGATCACATCCACTGCATCACTAAAATCGCAGGCACACAATCCACCTTTAACCAAGAATATCCTTCTTCATACATTTACAGACAGTAGTTGGATTTAATCTGCACAAAGAACCAAAGTTACAGAAACAGTTGGCCTTTTCAGATGACTTTCCACACTGTCGTTTGTTACAAGACAAGCAATGGAGAAGCTGGAAAGCCCCTCCGAGACACTCTGACCTTGCACGGCCCGTCCCTCCTGTGATCGCATGCGGATCCAGTGGTCAGAGATGTTGAGGATGACAAGGGGGTGAAGAGCCACTGAAACGCTGCCCGTCACCCCAGATGCCATGACACTGGGACTGACTGAGAGAAGGAGAAAGGATTAGTACTGACACACTGGACACTACAGTAATAATAATAATAATAATTAATAATTGCTTACAGTTATATAGCGCTTTTCTGGACACTCCACTCAAAGTGCTTTACAGGTAATGGGGATCCCCTCCACCAAAACCAATGTGAAGCATCCACCTGGATGATGCGACGGCAGCCATAGTGTGCCAGTACTCTCACCACACATCAGCTATCAGTGGGGAGGAGAGCAGAGTAATGAAGCCAATTCATAGAGGGGGATTATTAGGAGGCCATGATTGGTAAGGGCCAATGGGAAATTTGGCCAGGATGCCGGGGTTACACCCCTACTCTTTTCGAGAAACACCCTAGGATTTTTAATGACCACAGGTTTTACATCTCATCCAGGTTTACAGTCTAGTGTCCCCGTCACTATACTGGGGCATTAGGACCCACATGGACTGCAGGGTGAGGGTGACTAGGCTCACACCTGCTTAGCTTCAGTGGGCTGCCAGTTGTGAGTTGCAGGGTGATATGGCTGAGTACATTAACACTGCACTGGGAGCGAGAGGGGTTAATACAGACACGCTGGACACTACAGTATATTAACAATGGTATAGGATAGGCTGTGTGTGATCACCTGGGATCTAACATTTCAAACACAATACAGAGAAACCAAGTGACAGTTCCGCACACAAAGTGGTTTAAAAACAAGCTACTCAGCCACCTTGCTGAAGCTGACACCCTGGCTTCATTCAAAATCCCGCTAGATCAATTATCTATCGAATGCCTTCTTATTTGCATCACGTATTTTCTTAATAAAACACGAGTCAGTTTGCCGGTTCTTTCAATAAAAAAAACAGATCAGGGGCGATTCTCAAATAAATTATACAAGAATCACTAAATGTATCTCCGTAAGCTTTATAACTCCATAAAATTAACAGATTGATGACAAATACTTATTAATTTCCAAATTTCTTAAACTACTGTACACAGACACAACAGATTAGTGAAGTGTTTGGAATCGTCAAAAACAAGAGTGACACCAAATTAAGCCAATCAATACACTTCTTTCAGAAAAAGGGCGGTACGTACTCACAGTCGTCCAATCAAACAGAAGAATACACAGCTCCTTGACCAATCAGTATGTATGTGAAGGGCAGCTGTTAAAAACATCGCTATACCCGGTTTATACCAAGACAAAATCATTTTTATCTCGCGCTTCGTTATTATTAGTCCCCGAAATGAGAATGTTTTGAGACACCAGCTGTCCACGAATGTTACCATTTTTTAAGTTAAAATGAAATGTACTTGAAAGCAGAGAATGTATTACCTGCCGCATCTACTTCCATTCCCCCGCCGTTGCTCGCCGCCATCTTGATCTCCGCGCAGCTCACACTGGCGCACCCGGGACGCGCATGTGCAGTAGGCCACGAGGAGGGACGTACTTGTGCACTATTACCCTGTCGCCAGTAGAGGGCAGGGCTGCTCCCCCTAAATACTCCGCCAAAGTGTGCTCCATCTGTATCTCAAAACTCCTTTACAACAAGAGACACACCAGCGGGGGATCGGGGGCAGAGGTTCATTATATGCTGAAATACAGTATGGAAGAAATATTAACTGTGGAGCCTTCTTCAGTAGTGAAGGAGAGAAAGCGCGCACATCATTTAGGTTATTGTGCTTTCATAATAATAATTGCTTATACTGTTATAGCGCTTTTCTGGACACTCCACTCAAAGTGCTTTACAGGTAATGGGGATCCCCTCCACCAAAACCAATGTGAAGCATCCACCTGGATGATGCGACGGCAGCCATAGTGTGCCAGTACTCTCACCACACACCAGCTATCTGAAGGGAGGAGAGCAGAATGATGAAGCCAATTCATAGATGGGGATTATTAGGATAGCCAAGATTGGTAAAAACGGCAATGAGAAATTCACCAGGAGTTACAACCCTACTGTTTTTGAGAAACACCCTGGGATTTTTAACAACCACAGAGAGTCAGAACCTAACTTTTACATCTCACCCGAAGGTCTTTTTTACAGTATAGTGTACCTGTCGCTATAATGGGGCATTAGGATCCACATGGACTGCAGGGTGGGCGCCCCCTGCTGGCCCCACTAACACCTCTTCCAGCAGCAGCCTTAGTTTTTCCCAGGAGGTCTC